GCCACCGGCCCTCAGGGTAAGCCACAGCGTGCAAACGGCAGTAACGGTGACGATTCACACGCTTTTGGTTACTACTATGCGCCAATAAGGGAGATTAGAAACAGAAAAGGAGATTACAGAGAGATCAGAGATAAGAGGTGTACCTCTCTGTGTCCCTTGTCACATAGCGCGCGCGCAGACACGCATCTGTACACACATGCATACTCAGCCGTACATGCACACATTCCTTGCTACTGCCATCTAAATATATGCACCGACACTCTATGCCCTGCAACGTGGCCGGTGTGTTTGTCCTGATTCGGCATAAAAGGAGGCAGGTATGTGCCAGAGGCCAGGCAGGAACAAACAGCCACGCACAATTTAATTGCAGCTAAACTCAGACATTTAGTCTGCCGAATTGTTTTATTCAGCCAGGTGCCCCCCAGGAACCAGCAATTCTGTAACCAATTGTGGAATCCTGCAATTATTCATAACGTGCTGAAAATGTACTTTAGGAAACGTAATCTTGCTATATATGGCAAGGTAAGGGCGAATATGAAGGATGAGTCTGTTTCCATTTTTTAATGTTTTACGTGTAGCCATCTGACCACTTTTTATTGGGTGACATATCATATGAGCACTTTGGTGTAGGCTTGGAAAAACTACAGCGAGAGGTAAGACTAGAAATGCTGTAAGAATTAAGGGTGCTAAAAATGGATGCTGGAGAGTCCAGCATGAAAGATGGCATACAGCTGTAGGTTTGAAATGGGGGAAAATACATGTGAATATTTATACATGAAAGCCATTGGGGAGGGCTGAGTCTTGTCCTGAGTGTCTGTGCAGGTAAGTCATTCATAAGCAAACTAATTACCTGTGCATGCACTGGACCTGTTTAATTGAATAAGCTGCATGTGTGAATTTTTTTTTGTTCTTTGTGGCTATGCAATTATGGATTGAGTTTTAAAATAACAGCTTTTGGAGAATTTGGTGTGGAATATATATACATATATTCAAAAGCCATCATGCTGAATAGCTATATTGCCAGGAAGGAAAAACATATCCTATAAACAAGATTACCACTGCTTGAAATCCAACTCAAGGCCTGTATATTTTAGGGCATGTCGACTGGCTTAATATAGTAACTGTTTTATTTGTTTGTTTTAATTTCAAAGTCTGGAATTAAGGATGGTTTTCAATCAAGATAATGTGTCTCTATCTATATTAAGATAAATGTGAAACTCAGTAAAATTTGAATGCTGCAGACATGATACAACATACAACATGGTTGAAAATGTCTTCCTTGCAGAAGGCTGTCTATTGCTGTCTACACATTTTAAAATAGGGTTTTTTTTTTTAACAATAAGAAATGCTAGAAAGCAATAGAGTGCTGAATGCTGCATCTCTCAGCTAATCAGCACAAAAAATTCTTTAGAAATCTGTGGAATCACTTCACTTATACAAACAGTATTTCAAATGCACTAACCCCAAACTGTGTTTCTGCTAATATGAAGTTAATTAGATAATCAAACTTTGAGCCTTGAACGATGGGCATTATAGTCAATGGAGGGAACATAAGAAAATAAGAAAAATGTTTCTTTTCTTTTATGACCAAACGAGGATGTTCTACAGCTGACACTGCATACACGAAAGATATGCATATTTGTAACCTTAAATAAACAGAAGCAGGCAGGCAACAGTGCATGTTATCTAGCAAGAGACAGCAGCAGACACTTGCCAAAAAATAAAGACAGAAAAGGACAACAGAGACAGACATAATTAAAACAACAACAAAAAAGGGGAGGAGGAGAATCAATAAAACGATACAACCTGAAATTTTAACGAATTAAAAATGCAAATATATCTTTACATATGCATCAGTATTAAGAGTAATACAGGCTGGAACCAACAGGACCAGGAGCAGGAGGAGGAGGAGGAGGGAAGGTGGAGGAGGAGAAGAGGAGGAGGAGGAGGAGGACAGGAGGAGAAAGAGGAGGAGGAGGACGAGGAGGAGGAGAAGAGGAGGAGGAGGAGAGGAGGAGGAGGAGGAAAGAATGGAGGCGCCGCGGAGCCCTGATTATGCATGGGCTGGAGCTGCCTCCTCTAACCTGTTCTTCTCCGAGCCCGGCAGCCGGCGGTCCTCAGCCGCCCACAGAACAGGAGCCGAAACAACCGTTCCCGAAGGCTACAGCGTTTATTTTTCTCTTTTGGGGGGTTTGGCGGTTGTTTCAGGGGCTCGCCAACTGGCCCCTTTAATTAAAAGCTTCAATAAAAGGCGATCGCGCCAGGAATGCACTCGCCTCTCTTCGCGTAGGATTTGCATATTTTTTTAATGCCCTAATTTCCTTGATGTATGTAAATGTAGCCGGACGTAGAGGGAGACAGGGAGCTGACGTCAATGGACGTGACCTCGCAGCTAAACCTTGAACGTGAAGCTGGGATGGGGGAAAACACGGAGCGGCAGCCGGCGGAGCCCGCAACTGCAGCGGCGGCCGAACCCAGGCTGGAGGTGCCAAGGGGCCCAGTGCGGCCCCGGGGGAGGACGGGCCACTGCCTTCTTTCTGCACCGCGCTGCTCCAGCCTCGCCAGCCTTCCTACTACCCAAGCGGACTCCTGTCCTGCGCCCCCATCCCCACCAAATACAGGTTCTTTTCTTCCCCTAGAAAAACAACTCATCCCAAAGCAACAAACCGAAAACAACAAATAACAAACCAAACGAACCCCAAGTGTTTTAGCTCAATGGTTGGTTTGCTTATCAGAACGAAGACTCTTGACAATGGAACCTGATTTTTTTTTTTTTTTTTTTGCTTTTCTCCACAAGAAGAGGAGGGGGAGACCACAGACAACCGCAAATCACACCTAAAACACGATAAGCTACACATGTTCCCAATAGGGAGAGGTAAAATGCCCAGCCAACTGGTGAAGGGTTCTCGTTTTGGTACCTGTTTACCTGATACCTGATTATGTGTGTCGGCTTCATGAGCAGCAGTGCTAGGAGGGCGAGTTTTGTGACGGGGTGGGAGTGCCGTGTGGTGTGTGTGTGGGTGCGTGTGGTGTGTGTATGTGTGTTGGAAGGTGCTTGGCCTGGTGAGGACCGAGGCTGGCGATGTAAGATGAGAGATCAGTCTTGCTATGGTCAGATCTAGGACTTATTTTCGGAGCCGTTATAGGCCAGAACCCCTAGGCTGAGATTCCAGTTCATTTTTTAGAAGGGAGAAGCCCGTAAAGGCTTCCCTGGAACCGTCAGGCCGTTCAGATTACATTGTTTGGGGCCGGGGACTTGAGATGCAGGCATTCGGTGGCTGCTGCCTGGCATGATTTGGCCTGGTGGTTTTCACCAGGAGCTGAACTGCCTCAGCGCGGAGGTAGCGGCTGTGGGAGACGCGGCGGGGCGGCCTTCAGGTTCCCCTCCTTCCGCCCCGCGCGCCAGCGAGTGCGTGCCCGCGCACCGCGCGGGGGCCTCTGGCACCTCCCTGTGCACACTCGCCCCCGCCTGCGCTTGCCAGCCTCTCCCAGGCAGCCAAGCTCTGGTCTTCGGTTTCTTCTGGGCAGTGGGTAAAGCCGCCGCAGGCAAGGAAGGGGCGCCAGAGGCCGCGGTGTCCGCTCCCCAAGACTTGCCCTCGGCCTCCAAGGTCTCCGTTTTCTCGTTCCACCTCGCAGCCCCAGCTTTGTTTTCCTGACGTGCTTGTGGACACTGGGCCCCACGCCTGCGAGGGAAGTGTGCGTGTGCGCGTGCGGGCGCGCGCGGCGGGCGGGGATCCTCCCACCAAGGACACGCATGGCTGTCTGTCCTCAGGCTGCACTTGGCGGGAAAGCTTGGGGCCGCTGGCGGGCCGTGTGCTCAAGGTTCTCATTACTGCCTCCCGCCCCCCCCCCGGCCGCATTTACATACGGGCCACTCGTCAGAATTTTTGCAGTGCTTCCCCCACCCCCTTGTCCCCTGTCGCACGCGCGCAGGCTCGGAGCAACAGCCTACCCGCCGGGACGCGCAGACACCCGCGCCCAGGCTGGCAGGGCGTGCAAACAGCCCCGGGGTGGGGGGGAGGGGTGACAGCCCTCGGCGGGATAAATTCCTGCACCGCCTCCCTGCCCTTCCCCCCCACCACCTCCCCCTCCTCCACTGCGCGCCTACACCCCTGCCAGCCTCCCAGGAGTTGCAGGAAGCTCACCTTCCCTGAAATCCCTTACCTTTCCCTCTGCACACATCCGCCCACATCCTCCCACCTCTCTGTCTCTCCCTGGAAAACGCGCGCGCGCGCGCGCGCACACACACACGCACGCTTTTTCTTCTTCCTCCAATAGATAACCCCTATGGTGCGTCCCTGGTACCTTTGAATAGCACTGGAGTTTAGAGAATAAAAATCCTAATACTGTGTTGCTTGTCTTTAGCCAAACACATTTAACAACTACTACAAAAAGAGGGGGAGGAGAACGGGAGACTTGAACCAAAGGACCTTTCTTTAAAAAAAAAAAAAAAGTCTGCAAGTCAAAAGGTCATTCTCCAAGTTTGTAAATAAAATTGCAAAGGGAGTCCTTAAAGAAAGGAGAGGAAAGAAGGAAGGAAGGTAGGCCCACAAATTACATAAAATGGTCATTGCAAGAACAAGACAGGGCTATTCTTTTAAAAATGTGTCTTAAAAAACCAAGCGGGGGGAAAAACTGGAGGAAAAAAAGAAAAGGTAGAAAAGGCAAAAGAAGTGTCCAAAGAAATGTGTGCTTCGCATCATACAATAGGAAAATGTAGCCATTGCTGTCCTTCAGACGAGACATTTCTAATTTGTTCCGTCTGTCAGGAGGGGACTAAGAGAGGTTTGGGTGCAAATTCATTATCTCTGGCAACGCAGAACGTAGTGTGGGGACTGAAAAAGACCGTGGCAATGGATGAACAATAGGGCTTCAGTTCATCAGTAACAAAAGCAGTGGGGAAATTGGTTGAGTTTCAGAGCACGTCCTCCTCGGCAGAGGGGGCTGGACTAGACCTTGGACAGCCCCCCCAAAAACTTACCGAGCCTCGCACACACGACTTCACTCTCCACTCCGAGGCTCAGGGAGCAAGTGCTTGGTGTGGGGGGGAAAGTTGGCTTTTTTTTTTTTAACTCCTCGATCCTTTGCGCCTTTTCCCCTCTTCCCCAGAAGAGAAGACCCGTATAAACTATTTTAGACGCAATCAAGCAAGAATCACCATGTGGAATTGAGCGGCAGTTTTAAATGTACTAAGGAGAGCAATGATCTGATTTTTTTTTTTTCTTGGAGACGCCAAAAGGAACCTGTTTGTGTGCTGTGACCGTGGTGCGGTGTGACTGGATCTTGTCTTCTAACTGGGGCCTCGATTGCTGTCCGGCTGGATTTTGGGGCAACACCGCCTGGCGCTGAGAGATCAAGTGAGTACGTTGGCGGCCCGCAGGCTGCAGCTCGGCCGGCGGCTGTGGGTCAGCAGTGCCCGCTGGGCCCGGCGCCCGCACTCTTCCCCTCGCGCGCTGGCCGGTGTCCGCAGAGCCCGCCGCGGGCCGCTCCGAGGGCCAGTCCGGGGCTTTGCTTCAGCTAATTGATTGTGTGCGGTGGATGCCAAACCTGTTGATCTCGTGAGTTGTCTGAGCCAGGGCTATTAATTATCCATCGGCCTGACCTCAACCGCGGAGAAGTGCCAGGAAAATATTAGGGTTAGCAAAGGGAATTTTGTGTGTAATTTTGTGTTGTTGATGGGACTTTCTTCAATCTAAGCTAAATACAATTGCATTTTGCATTCCCAAATTCTGGATTGTCATTTTGAACAATTCGCCTCCTTTGAACAACCCCCAAAGTTGTAATTACCTGGCAATGAAGTGAAGGTCTGATTAGATCCCGGCGAAAAACTTATGTACAATAGCTAACTACATCCATTTCCTTTTTCTCTTTGCTTTCTGGATATTGGGAGGCGAGAGGCCGCTTTACGGGGTTATCCCAAGTTCTGCTTCGTCAAGTGATTAGTTATTGGAACTTGGAGCTGTTCCCCTTCAGATGCTTCTTGTATCCGAGCAGAGCGTGGTCTTAGCGGGTGCTTACAGCCCAGACCCTACCTGGGAAAGGCAAGTCCTCCTTTCCGTGGCTTGGAATTATCTGCGGAAACCCAGGATGATGGGAACCCAACCAATGTTATTTGCATTAGGGTCTGCGGCATTTTCTCTTGCACCTTCGGTGCTTGAATGGGGGCAGTGTCTGGAGGGGTCTGGGCAGCAGTAGAATTGATCAGAAGTTAGACCGGAGGCCCTGTCAAGTCTTGGCCACGGCTGACTGGGGCCCTTTTGGAGCTGTGGCTGCCTTGGACCCAGAATGGTGGGATCAGATCCAGTTTCCTCCCTCTCCTGGTGCCCACATCTGCCCGCCACCCTCTTTCTCCACCTTTGTACCAGTAATTAGGGTGCTGGCTTGGAATCAAGCCACTGTAGTCAGCATAATTCAACCAGTGCGGTACTTTCATTTTGCAAAACCAATAGCCCCACCCCACCAGTTCAAAAAAAAAAGCATAAAAAAATCATAAAAGAAAAGCAAGCTATTTTCGGAAGTGTAAGATTTCTTGAATATTGGATCGTGGGGGGGATGGGTGAAAGGAATAAAAATCCACCACTTTACAGCAATCAGGTTTTACATTATTCATTGGTTTACTGGAGGAAAGAACCAATCAGGAGCCATAGATATGAATGCACATCTCACCGTGCTGTGGCCTTACAGTAAACTATTTGCATCTTTCTAATGGATTAGACATTTATCCAGGGATTCCCATTGTTTGAAAGGCCTGGAAATTCAGGCCTTTAAACATTTGGAAAATAAGACTTTGTTCCAGACTTAAAATCCTTATGTGGCAGGGCTTTCACTTCTCTTTTGTATGTATGGCAGGTTACAAGGTTCAAATCCCTAATGTTTCATAAGTCTTTTCTTTCCAAGCCAAAAATAAAAGGAGAAAGAAAAAATTAATTTCCCAAACCCCTCTAGATTCTGCATATTTTGCATTCCCATTATCGTGCATGTCTCCATTTAAATGTAAATTAGCATACTTAACTCTGTAGGTGCTGAGGCCCAGGATATACTGTACTGGGGTTTATGGAATTTCTTGTCATTTTAAGAAATCATGGTAATTGCAATTCTTTCTATGAAGCCATATCTAGGTATGATTATATATATAAACTGTGATCATTTGTTTTCTTGACTATTTTTCAGATGTGACTGCAAAGAAGCATAAAACGAGTAGACTATCCAACCAACCAAAGGTAATTTGAAAATTTATGTTTGATAAAATCAAAGTGATGTACAAAATCAAACTAGAATGTTATTTACTGGGTGGGAGGTCTGCAGTATATTACACGTCTCCTGATGCAACAGATAGAATTCTAGAAAAATCTAAGTTTCTGTGTGTTCAGTTTTTTTCCCTTTAGGGAAACTTTGTATATTATATATCAAGCCTAATATAAACATGACCTACAACTGCCTATAAAAAAGAAATTTGGGATGCAGTAGAAATAATAAAATACTTTTATTAGAAAGTAAGCCAGTGAAGTACCTTACCTGTACCATACAAATTGCTGTGAATTAAGTGACTTTTATAAAGAAAATGGTAGTCTTGACTATATTAGTGGACTGGTAGACATGTATGAGAATCATACAAACCAAACATTTAAAAAAAGATTTTGTTGATAGGCAAGCTCTTCATGTACTCTGCAGTAGTAATAACAGGATTCAGAGATGTTCTTAATATAGGTGACAAACCTGGTATACTGGAATTCATAGAACAGCATAATTCTGATCCAAATATGTGGAAAATCGTAACTTTTTACTTATAACTTCAGGAGAGATTGTTTATTTCCAAGTAAGCTAGAATGTTTCAATTCGTATTTCAGCCATCTGGAGACCTATAAAAAGATTAGAAAACAAGCATGACAATCACGTCCTAATCTACTAGCTATTAATGGGAATTTAATAAAGAATGAGCAGGCAACCCATTTGAGTTCAGTATATACTTCAATATGCAGATTTCATATGGGGTATTCTGTAGCTTAGCTAAATACCTTTTTAAAAACAAAACTATCTCCTTTAAAAATATATGTGTTAACATATATTTAATGTTGTTCTTAATGTGTGACAGACATTGCTAGGAATCTTCAGAGCTGCACATTTGTTTAAACTTATCTTGCAGCCCACATAATAAAACAGTCCTAAAACATATATGATAAACCACAATATAAACCTTGAAAATGTTCAAGGTGCTCATTGTTAAGCCTTACTATGTAAGATTTTAAATTTTTTCATACCTGAGAGATGATGGAAAGGCAAAATATTAAATCAGCTATATGACTAATGAACAGACTGCCCATAATCTTCATCTTGGCTCATTTCACTTATTGGAGTTCCCATGATGACTCTGTGTTAGGTGTACCAGGCATAGAGGCACATACTTCCATGAAGTAAGTTGACGTGATTATGTGGTGTTGCCCTAGAAGATGCTATTTTAAGACAGTTGGTGCTCATGGTGGGTACTTTGGTTCTAAAAATGCGTTTAATTATTAAGTACAGAAATGTAGCTGTAATCATTTGCAAATTCACACAAATATGGGAGTAATATAGACACACATGCATTACATCTATCTGCTTTTGCCAACCCCCACCTTTATATAAAAAGATATTCTAAAAATAGCTGGAATATCTTGGGCTTTGACTTAAGGAATTAATACATTGGATCACATGCTTGCTTTATGTAATACATGCCAGACCACTAATGACTCTGTTTCTAGGTTTTGGAAAGCAAGGCTCAATATTCTTCACTCTTCCAAGGCTTCAGCTCATTAGGCTTTTACATCATGTCAAAAGTGGCATGTACCTCAGTGATGTGTTAAATTTTAATTTGGTACTTTATGTTGTGACCAGATAGTTCAAGAATGAACAGCAATTCCATGAGTCTGTTATTCTGAATTAGTTTATAGTTTTCATGTGCACTTCATATATTAATCTAATGCAAACATTGCTGACCTTACCTCTTGCTCCATAATTTGACAAGCTATATAGAGGAGCATTTTCTACAACTTAGTCTCTTCTAAATAGTCAGTATATTAGAATGCTTACCACAAAAGTAGATAAATAAAAAAATCTAAGGCATCTGTGTTGCTAAGTTATATCTTTAATTGGTGTAATATTATTGTTTAAATACTTCAGTGGGTTTTTTTGTGCAATTCTGCTTTTCTTGTCAATCTTCTCTACAGAGCTTACATATGTGTGCTCTGTGTGTGATTGGGTAACTATGTTCACACTGATGTCTTAAATGAATAAATTACTGAATTAATGAGAGGGTATATATTCTGAAAGTGTTTTAGTCATTGGGGAAAATAGACAACCTATACAAATAAGAGTATTGTGATAAAGTAGTGATGTGTGCAATGAATATTAAGATTTATTAATTCTCTTTTAAAGAATAGTAACACCACCAAACATAACTTGTAATTTTGAAAAATAGTTCATAAGGGTCACCCATGGTGAATATGCCTCTTTTTTATGTAGCTACATCAGATGGCTTGCTGAAGTCTACCTGAATATTAGAACTGTACATTTTAGAGATGTGCTAGACATAGATTACCCATTACAAAGGAGAAAAAAGAAAAGGACTCCTTGAAGTAATCACACACTTTGAAAACTTAGAAGAAAATGAAGGAAGCTAATTAATTAACAAAACAACATTTCTTCTAGATAGAAGAAAGATGAGGATGGGAAAAGGGAAGGTGGGGGAGTAACGCTCTTAACATCCAGGTGTTTAATCCATATTTTTCAGGAGGTAGCAACACTTTTTCAGAGTTTTGTAAACAAGACTAGTACATTCTTTTCCTTCTGCATGAAAACTGATGTTCAAAACAATAGAGACTCAGCACTTTTATTGTAGCAGAGTTGTGAATAACATTAGAAACTATTGCTGCAATGTTTACCTGTGCTGCATTGTTAAGTACCCTATAGATACAGTCATTAAACACACACACACACACACACACACACACACACACACACATGAAGTCCTCCTGCTTAGAGCGTTGAGTTTGAACTCACAGAACAAAATATGCTGCCCTATCGCCATGGTGCATAGATACAAAACATGACTGAGCTGTGAAGCCATTAAAAACACAACACCAGAGCAAATTGTCAATGCAATCACATATCGACTCACTGCGTAATACAGATCTGATTCCCAGCCCCAGAAAGAGAGGCCCTGCTTTAAGCAATAGGAAAGTGCCTTCCATCTGTCTGCCTGTGCAATCTGCCAGAAGAGAAATGCAGGCAAAAGACGTTCCCCAGACCTGAAATGCTTTTATCTGTCCTTAGAGAGAGATTTCTTCCAGTCTTTGGATGTTAGAGCGATCTACACTAGCACCGAGGAGGTAAAAGGCCGCGGGTTGCTTTTCCAGGAGCAGTCGGTAGTGCTAGCGGAAGAAATGTTGATTGAGAAAATAGGGCTTGTTGCAATGCTGCTGCAGCCGCCGCCGCCGCCGCCGCCGCCTCCGCCGCCGCCGCCGCCACCACCGCTCCTCCGGCAGCAGGCGTGGGGGCAGTTGGCTGATCACTGATGCATATCAATAACCATGTACTTGAGATTTCTCATGACATCATCATTACCTTGGTCTCCCGCGGTCTCGAACCTTTGACCTTGCCGGGCTGGTCCACAATTTGGCAGTGAAAGCCCCTCCAATGATGGCCCTTTTCTCCTTCTTTCAGACCGGGGGCAGCAGCACGCCAGCAAGACTGCATCTTCGCCTCCCCAGCCTAGAAGCCCCGTGAAATCGAGGATCTTCCCCCTAAAACACTCACATACAAGATATGTGCAATCAAGCTGCCACCACTTGGTAAAAAGCCCATGATGCCTAACCCAAAAGCATCGGGAGCAGATCCTTGAATCAGCTGTCACTTCTATAGAATGGGATTTTTTTTTCCCCTTCCTCCTTAACCTGCGCTGGAAATTGCTGTTGGCTTTATACATCTCTATAGAGGAAAGCTAAAGCGTCTTGCGTGAGAATGAAGCAATTTACAATGCAAATAGAGGCCTGTGAAGGGATGGATGCTGCTGCTCACTCTAACAGACTGCTGCACCTTAATAGCTGGTTTTATTTTCTAATATTAATAGATGAATTGTTGGCCATCGCTGCCGGAGATTACTTGCTGAAAGGGGAAAAAAAGTTTGGAATAAACTCTGAAGGCAACAGATCTTATTTGGATGTTTTAGCTGCGCACATACACAAACAGAAACCAGGTCATAATTACATAAAAGGAGGAATCTTAAACCCTGCGAGTATCCTGGAGGACTACTCTTCGTACTTCCAGAAGGAACCGGGATTTGGAGCCTGGCAAGAGGAAGACACAGGCATGTGAGGGAAGCGAGTTGTTATCTTTGGTTATCTAGCTGTATGAGTGTATTGGTCTTCATAAAGCTAGATAACCGAAAGTAAAAACTCCTTCAAGATCGACGGGGACCATGTGAGAATGAAAGACTACAACCAAGAGACAGTAAAAACCAGAAAGGTCAGGAATACTTATTGAATCTAACTTTGTTTTTGCTTTTTTTTTTTTCTTTCCTTATGATTAAAGGTGGGATGAAAGGAAATTAGGTGACACGCATATGCGAAAATATAAAGGTGCTAGGATTTGAGAGGTGTTACAGCTGCAAAGGAGAATTGTATAGTACTAATGAGTAAAGATGCATGTACAATTTGTTCTATTTTTAAGAAAAAAGTTTACATACAAGGATTTTTTTTTTCTTAGAAAGCTGTTGTAGAGATGTCAGATGCCTGGTTTAAGAATGATTCCGTAATTATGTAGATTTGGGCAATTCCCTTCTGTGCCCCTCCCCCCAAATTTGAAGACTGTGCTTGGAACCTACTTTAAATCTATTTGGGCCGAACATCAAATTCTATGAAATTAGACTTTCAGAAAAGTTTATACTGGAATCTTAATAAATTATATCTACTAAGGACTTAGAACTAGCAGGGAAAATGAAAAACAGAAGCAAAGGCTGATTTTTATTCTTCTATTCAGAATACAAGGACAGATGCTTCTCTGTTCCAAGAGGGTTTCCTTGAGGAAGCTACTGAAGCAGAAAGACATGATGGAGACGAGATCGCCTCCCCTCTTGTCAAAGTGTTAAAAAAATGTTCTGTCTTACTCTGCGCCTAGCATTGGAAATGAAAGTGACATTTACGCCACAACCCACGTGTGCGCCTCCTCTCTTTTTGTTTAAGGATGATCAGGTCTATCCAGGAAACAGCTCTGGCATCCCAAACTGAAATAATTAGGACGTATATAGACCTGACAAAAATGGAAAGGGGGTGGGGAATCTGAGGGTCTGTCTTGCCTAATTGATTCCGCTAAACGGAATGCAGGAGATGTGAACGGCAGGACGCTCCGATTCCCACGCTCGGGGGCAAGTGGTAAAGCGGGCGGCAGCCTATGACAGACAGCCCTGTTGGGGGGTAGGGGTATGAAAAAAACATCAAGTGCACACACCATACTCATCTCCATCGCTTAAGAAAGTAAAGGCATTTCCCACCCACAGCCATCTGCAGCCTCCCAAATGGCAACTGCCAACTGGTCTGAAGCTGCTGCATACTGTTTGTTTCTGTTAATTTTTTAGCCATTGTTCAATCTGGCCTTGATTAAGTTTGGTTTTCTTCTTTGTTTAAGATTTTCACCATTTAAGGAAAAGTAGTAGAAATCCATTTCAAGAATGTCCCATTAGCTACCTGCCCTTCACAAGAAATTCTCACTCTGTGCTCAGGGCCTTGTGACCACCTTTTGGCTTTTGTTTTGGCTGGGCTATATTTTAAAGTACATTTGGCTGTTTTGCAATCATTTTTAAGACTTTCGGCTGTTTACCTGTTAATATGACACACCAAGGAACTTGGTTTGCTTATGCTAATTAGATATACACTGGAAATAAAATTATAAAGTCACCAACCTATAGAAAGTTGGTTACAATAAATATGTGATAAAAGGTTGTTTTGGAATAGTCCTAGCTAGATGTGTCTTCAACAGTCATTTTTATTTAACCTAAAAATAACTGCCTCACTTAAACTGGGGTTTTTAGAGGTCCCTATTGTAATCCTTTCCTAAAAGTCACCCTTTTGTCACGTGTCACCAAGCCCACATTTGTATAGGCATTACACATAAATACAACATTGCAATAAGAAAGTGTCCAAAATAGCCTGTTATCTTCCACATGGTCTAGGTTACTGACACTCCCAAATACATAATTTTTCTCCAAAGATAGTCCCTTTTGCTTTGTAGCTACAACTCCTCCTAGGATTGCAGACTCAAAAGCCTGTAAAGTCACTGTTAGTGTCATTTAGAAGCTCTGAGAGACTTTATTAACGTAAATTCTCAACTTGGCTGCTGAGCACGTGCCAAAGTTTTACTACAGTAGTGACCGTTGAGAAGACCCTTGTTTATTTACATTTGAAGCACTGTTTGTGCAAACAACCTTTCATTGTTAAGTGCCTGTGTTCCTTTCATTTACTTCATGTCCAGGGGTGCTATTTACCTAGAACCATTGTCTACTACAATTAACATTTACATTACAAAGTGTGTGGTTTTCTTTCTCAAGGAGGTTCAATTAAGGCAATAAGATGTTTGCTGGGGAAACCTATTGTTTACTGAAAGCACTCAATGGAGTCAAATTACTAAAGCTTTTGCCTACATCTTGGTCTTTTATGTAAATATGTTAAATATAACAGCTAAGGAAAATAAACAATATTAAATTATGTGTTTGCCATTGTCATATCAAACTTGCTTTGTATCATACTAATGTTACATAACTTATCGATCAATAAAAATACATTTCAGTGTTATTTTCATTTTATTTTTTGCTGTTCCACTGCTCTTGCTGCAACATGTCCCAAATTTTCTTTTTTTCCTATTACACATCAAACTTCTGACATTTTGTTTTATTTGTGTGCGTTAAAGGAGGTACTGTATCTGAGTTTGAGTGTGAAGGGTGTCGGAGATAATCTCTACAATGACCTTATAATAAGGTGATATTTCTTTGAAATCTGAAATATTCCAGAGGCATGTACATTTAGTCAAAAGAAGTGTAAATATCAGTTAAGCAGTTCTTTGAAAGCTAGTTTTAACATTGGCAGAACCGGATCAAGTTTATTTAGCATACCACTGCATTGTAAAACAGTTGGAGTGAAGTTGCAGGTTGCGTGAGTATGCATGTTAACTAGTGGGAACCAAGCACAGTCTTTGTGAAAGGGGAGCAGCAGATTGCTGTGCAAGGCCAATGTTAAAAAGGCAGCTGAATTTAACACCATCTGGAAGAAAAGATCCCTTCACGACTTTCTCACACCGTCAGACAAAACTAGTGTCTCTTGTTCCGAGCCCTTGTCTATGCAACCATACAATACTGAGTCATTATACTTTTGCTGAGAGAAAATTTGAGAACACAATATGGGTAACCAGTGAATGACCAAGTTTCATTGTGCCCGCTTAAGTCGATTGAAATCTACGTCTAGAGCTATGAATGGTAGTATTGTTTTCCTCACCAGGGCTGTACTAAATGTCAGCACAGTGTAAAGAAAAACTTGAAGTCTGCAAATAACTTACCAGATCTCAATTATAATATTTTCCCACACTAGAACTAATATCATTGCGAGGGGCTACATTGCAGAAAATACAATAAGAAATGAAAAAGAAATAAGAGAGTTCATTAAGAAGTTACTTTTTCCAGCCAAACATTTTAATTTTCTGATGGGAACTTCAATTCAGACTGCAGGCTGAGTTGAGGAGTAGAATTCATTACTTGGAAGTTCAAGTTACAAAAATGCTTCTTGTGCAATTAAAATAGAATAAAACAAACACCCAATTCTACCTGAAACCCTCTCTTACTAAATATAAGCCCACTCTTCTCAGGTTTTATTGCTAGAGTTCTGCTTAGAATTGTTAGTGTGAATCTAGCTTAAATTTTATTTTAAATTTTAGCACACTACTCTTTGAAAGTTTGCCACTGTGATTGACATTGTAAAAGAACACCATAGATGTACATTTCCAAAAATATATGAGAACATTCTAGTACCTCCCTTGGTGGATTCTAGTGTCCTCAGAAATAAGCTTTTCCTTTATATCACACCCTTCCCTCCATTTTCTAACTTAAAAAAATAATTTGTGTAAATCAGTTATCCTTCGGCTTAAGTCACACAATCTATTTGACTGTAAACAGTCAGAAAAAGGAAACAAAGCAGTTCAAAAAAAGTAAAAGGAGTTGATTGTGTATGTTTTATTAAGATGTCTGTTTTAAATATAATTGACTTTGCAATTTTGCTATTGTGTCACCAAGTGTCGCATAGTTCTTAACATGTAAGTGCAAAACAATGAGTAATTGCTGTTTTGCTGAATAATACATCTGAGTTGCCAGCATCAAAGGTATTATTTTGTGTATTTCTAAACAGGAACGTTAACTGCAGGTTTTGACATCTAGAATCTTTTCTTGAAGTACTTAGAAATAGGCTGATAAAATGATACCTTTAAAAGTAAATATAAAGATATAACCAACTTATTTTCCTCATCCTACTTTGTGCCACTAGAAAATTAGCAATGAAAAGTCACTAAAAAATCAATTATAAAGGATATAACATAAAGACAGTCGAGCAAAAAATCTAACAGAACCACAAAAATAGAAATTGGATAGAAGTAAAAAAAAAAAACGATACATAGGAAGAGTTCCGAAATATCTTGGCAGAATATGAATGGGTGTATTTAACAGTATCAGTCCCCTACTGAAGTCACCATTAATATGCATAATAATGAGATAAATGCATTATTTACATTTAAAATGGAATATTTTTCCAAAGAGGATATTCTTTAAGGCTTCTTAAATACTAACTTATCTACTAGTAGTGCTCTTTGTGTTTATTTTTAAAATTAAAGTGATTTTCTTATTTGAAGATACATGAAATTCTAATTTAATTTTGTGCAGTCTGATGAAAATTAAGCAATCATTTAAATAATAAGAGATAGGGATGAGTACATTTCAAGTTTAGAAACATTCTTCCTATTTATATAAACACTTCAGGATATTTTAGCAATTTTTGACTTTTTAAAAATTGAGGTTTTATTTTCCATTGTGTCTTATGAAAATGAATGTGAGGTTGTGCAACCATCCAGGTTTTTTTTTTCTTTTCCCTCAATTGATACCCTTTTCCCACTTTGTGACTTACCTTTCCCTCAGTTTGCTAGGATAAATAAAACACACCATAATATGTTTTGTTGAGATGAATGGATAGTGGTGGTGGTGAACTGGGAGACAAGGGATAAGTGTCTCTTAAGATAAAATCTAACCACAATTAAAGTTATTGAGTAAAAGGTATCTGTAGTAATGGGTCAACTGTTTTAACATTAGTCCTTGGAGACAGGTCCTACAGCAATGGGGCTTGTAAGGCAGTTCCTCAGTGTCTCAGGATTTTAATGGATGGCTTTGTTAGCCTGTTTTTCTGTTCATCGGTGTCTTAGCACAAGTTAAACAAGCCAGTACAAAAATCAGCAGAAACCTCCATCCCCATTTGCTTAGAGAACCCATTTCATTCCTTCTGGGAACTGTTCGACTTTATTGTGGAATTAATTCTAAGATGATGAATGGAAATGTACAGTACATAGTTGTGATTGCTACTAAGGGATCTCTGGCCGCTCTCCATCAGGGCCCGGGCAGATAGTGCACTTCCTCAGAAAGGTGATGACCATCTTTGAGGCAGAAGCATGTGGCTTTCCGCTTTGCAGCCAACTGCCAGACCACAGGGGGCAGAGCCTTAAAAAAAGTGCAGATAATCGACTTTATTCAGGGAAATACGGAGTTCTGAGCCATGTTTGTTCAAAGAGAAGCACATCGCTGTGCCTGGTGCTTTGACTCGGTTTTAGCTTAGCGCCAGTACCACCCATTCCAGAGATCTAAAAATAGCCAAGCTCAGCAGCCTCCTAGCCAGGTGCTTGGCGAGGGCGGGGTACAGAAGGACAGCCGACTCTGTGACTGACTGCACAAGCGGCGGGGCTAGGCGCGGACGGCCGCGAAGGCTGCCGCTGGGCCACTGGGCAGCACAACGCCTCCAGGCGACCGCCAACAGCCGAGTCCTCCCGCAGCTGCGGCTGCTCGCGGCTCTCGCCCGAAAGCCGGCGTCTGATTGGTGTTTCCCGGGAGACGGGCTGCCCGAGCTGCCGGAGCTGGTGCGCCGGCGCGCGCGCTCCCGGGGCTGGCGCGCGGCGAGGCTGGGCGCGCGCCTCGGCCGGGGAGGCGTGGGGCGGGGAGGCGTCCCGAGTTGGCACAGCTCGGGTAACCGCGCCCTCCTTTCGCAGCCGGGAGGTTGCTGGACCCCCGCGCCGTGGCTGCGGGATGCGACCCCGCAGAGGCAGAAGCTCCGCCTCTCCTTTGCCAGGCACTTTGGGGGTTTGTGCAAGGGCTGCTTTGCGGGTTTTGGTTTGCCTGTGTCTCGGCCCCTCGCTACGACGTGGGCCCTGCCTCTGAGCCGGCTTGGGTCTGTGGTTACTTGGGAGTCCCCGAGTCGCGGTTGTGAATGGGGAGAAGTGGAGGTTTAGTCACGCCTGGGTGTTCGGTACTGCAAGCATATCCAGGTGCCTCTTCCTGGTCACAGGGTCCCTTCCTTGGGCTGGCAGGAAACTTGTGGTTAAGAGGCTTTCTTTTCCTGAGTTTTTCGAGTTCTATCTGGGTTTCTTTCCTGGATATGATCAATATTATTGATAAAGGTGGGGACACCATCTTGCCCCCTCCACACACATTTTTTTTTTTAAACCTAGTGAAATCCTGCTAACAGAAAGGGTTCCTCGAGTGGGAAAGCTTTTGAGGGATGTTGTTGGGGGCTGGGGTTGAGTGCAAGCTGCTCTGGGCCCTTTCCAGGAGCAATGTCCACCTGCGTTCCCATCCCTGACCCTCTCCCCCCATTGCGCATTGAGTGTCAGAGTGTATCTCCCCCCCCATCAGATTTGTTGGAAATAATAATCTCCTTGTTGGGTGGATACAGTAGAACTTGTTCAGAGCTTACTTTAAAAAAAGAGATCTGGGTCTTAAGCACTTACTAAAGCCAGTTAATAACATCATGCATGGACATTTAAACTTGTTGTAAGTTGCAGAGAGGATTAGCGGGGAGTCACGCTGTGCGCAGCTAATGATACCATCTTAGCTCTAACTGGGCTAAATCCACCTCGCCTGGCGCAGGTCCGGGTCTCCGGCCCTCCAGTGAGGCTAGGAAGGAGGAGGAAGGAGGGCAGAAACCGGTCCTTGTTTCAGGTGAAGGTCAATTGTCCTCGGAGGCCACGGGAGGTCTTGTTGCTGGGTGGGCAAGGTTACTGGACAAGGGCCTAGGCATCCCCCGCACCATGATCTGCGGTCTGTACTTTAGTGACATTGAAGGTTCCTGGCCAACACTGCCGAAACAATTTTTGATTTATTAGCCAAAGGGCGAGGAAAGTTCTGTTGGATGCTCCGGTGAGAGTTCAGGGTTAAAAATGGTGGCTTTCTTGCTACCTGGTGTATTTGCATTACAAAGACCGTTTACTTTCAATTCTACTTTAAAAAAGTACTCAAACTGAGTTTTTCACAGGTAAATTTCCTAGCATATTATTAACAACTTCCTGTCATAATCTTACTCAACTAGTTTCAAACTGATTACTGTTTTAAGGCGGTTTGCGACTATTTTATGACAGGGCCAATTAGAAAAAACCCTGGGAAAATGCTGCGTTATTAAAACACTTACCTAACAATATTCATCTGGCTCTGTCACTAAGTAGCAATTTGACTGATTTCTTGTGTTCTGGTTTCTTTAAATAGTCACTTGCCCTGGGAAAA